TATTTTCTCTTTGTCTTTCTCAATTACAGGGTTGTAGTCCCCAAGAAGTATGACAGGGTGAACTGTGTTGGCCTATTCCATAAGAAAAGCTGTTCCATCCGCGTGGTGAAGAAGACTAATCCTGAGATAAGTTGCAAAGTCTACAATGGAATTGGATAAGACCACATGATGCATTTCTCCTCTTTCACACCTATCCCAGAAGCTGAATACGCTCTGCATCAGCAAGCAGCATGGTTTCAAGAGAAATGAGTTTGCCTTGTGCCTTTCACAGCTCTAATTGTGCCTTATCTATTTAATTTCTCATGCTAGGTGGTTTGTCTTACACACATTTGTGTAACCAAACTACCAGAGGCTTTTTTCCTGTTGGGATCCAGAGTTAAATACATTTTCTCATACATTAAATCACTGTAGTCACTGATTGGTCTCCTTGAAAACAGAAGAATTCATGGTGTCTATAAATGTTTGTAAATCTAATTATTGGTTTGGAAATCATCTAGCTTTCAAAGCAACAGGCATTATATAAATTGTCAGACACATGGACTCATTATGCTATTACACTTATTGACATTCACCCAATGACATGTGTACTAGAAGAATGGGATGAAACAAACCAGAAACACAACCCCTTGAAATCCTCCCCTCACCTTGGTGCCCTGTGTAGGTCAATCCATTAATGCAGATGCACAAGGGAACATATTCTCCTGGAGATGACTGGTACATTACAAAAATGGCAATCCCATGCCTGAGAGTCCAACATACTGCAAAGAAGTGCCATATAAATAGCTCTGTAGCCTTCCATACCAGGGTAGAATTTCCTGCAATAATCTTGCTTAGATCAAAGTCCACTGACAAACAACCCCATGAAAGCTGTTTTTATAGGAAACCTAGACTATAAATCATGTTTAGCCTGTAGACTTCAGGCATTACACTGTACCTGGTGCAAAGTCCATAAAAGTAGTTACTATGAGAAATATACTATAAAATCTATTTATACAATATTAAGAGCAATTATAAAGAGTGCTGTACAGCTTAAAACACCCAGACAAATAATTCGAGTGTGTTCAGTTTATTCAACACTAACGTCATAGTGCTTTTCCTCATCTGCCTTTCCTCTACCTTCCTGAAGTGTATTACAGTTAAATATTTCATCTGATGCAAACAACAACTTCTTTCAATATCTGCTGTGGAAAACCACAATCACATGGTCTATTTAAAGTGTGGTGCTGAGAACATACAAGCAGAAAACCTGCATGTAAGGAAAACAGTTACCAATTATCAGTAAAAACCCATCTATGGCAGTCAAGAAGGTGATTTCAGAAAGCAGGTAAAATGAGAAACACAATTCCTATTTTTAAATTTTTGGAGCTCAGGGACAGTTAGAAGAAGAAACAGCTCCCTTTGATGATATCCCCCTGTGCCTTCATGGGACCAATGCCATGGACATCCCTGCATCTGGCTATGACCAGTCTGGGAGGAATAGATGTCAGAGGGGCCCTCACTTCTCTACTTGAGGAGGTTGACTCAGAGGATCTAATTCAGTTATATATATATGTGTGTGTGTGTATTTATGGAGGTAGATGTAGATACATATATATATATAAAGGGGTTATGATATCTGCTTCCTAAATGCTAGATTCATTTATAAGAGCCTGTCTAGGGACCCCTAGTAATAGGCTTACTTCTCTGAACATCATTTAAGCAGCTCAGAAAAATTCATGTGAAGATACATCAGTTTCATAGCTCCCCCCCATGGAATGAAGGTTACGAACAAATTGAGAATGGCTGATAATGGTTGAAATAGCAATTCTGCTTCAGAAAGAAGTAGAGATTCTCACAAAATGAAGCCAAACCAAACTTCTGTAAAATATCTACAAGGATGCCAGGTAGCCCTAATAAACTTAGTATACACATGGACTATGTACTGTTCCATAGTACATTTTCTCCACATGCTTTTGTCATCAAGTGCCTAGTACTATTCTTTATGGATATTGTTTGCTCACTGTTTAGCAGTGCCAGAGAGAGCAGAACTCCAGATGCTGGAACACAATTAGATTTGCTAAATGTACTGTAGCAGAATTGGCCTCTGAAATTTCATGCTCAGAGGAAAGAAGGAGACAGAGTATCAGGACTCCTTTAAGGAAGGCTGATATGGCTGAAGATCTGACACAGGATTGCTGGAGGAGACCCTCAAAGCATCCAGAGGGCAGCTTTAATCCCACTGCTGTCAGTGACAATCCTGTCACTGCAGGGAAATGCTCAATTGCACCCAATGCTGGTTGGTAGAGACCTTGCTGTCACCATAACCACTTGCAGGAAGGAGTTATTTGGCCAGAGCAGAGAAGACTATTTCTTCATGCACCTGTACCCCTTTGAAAGGTGCTGTCTCCATGGAGTCCTACTGGTTTTGTAACCAGCTGCAGTGCAAGCAGGACAGCTCTTCAATACCTTCTCATAACAGGAGCATATGCTGTGGGTGGAGATTGGGAACAAGACTTCTTATTGCTCTCTAGGAACTAAGACAGCCCCATGCCATGCCAGCTACACTTTCAACAACAAATGGGACTGGTCCACTGACAGCACTTAACTAGCAATAGCTGGCACTACAGTACTTCCACACTGCTTCCCAATGTGGAATTTCCTTTATTATGCACCCTCATACAAATATTCTTGTTCATTTCTCAAGTCTTAATGGGCTGGGATCCTCACGGATTCTCTCTACAGACTATTGTTCAATAGCTCCCACTGGGAACTCAGCCATGGCCAGATACAAACCAGCCAGCTCAAGTACCAGAACCCCTTTTAGCGAGGTGCTGAGCCCAGATCCACCTGAGGAAATTTGCGTCAGCATCTTTGTCTTGCTGCTGCTGTTCTCACTCCAGGGTAACTGCAGTACTGCCCCCTCTGTGCTACAGTCTGGACAACTGCTGCTTGGCAGCTCCAGCCCCATTGCACCTCTTGGCTTACATGCAACAGCAGCCACTGAGTGTAAGTCCCAGATCGACAAATGTCTGCAGGGTTGGAATGACTTAAGTGCTGCTCTTATGAATAGTGAGCATTTTCATCCTGCAATTTGGATGCGATATGGAAAGAGCATGTGTGTAACAGGACTCTAATGCAGCCCCTTTCACCTCACCAGAATGGCCAGGATCTTGCTAGAGAAGTTCATCCAAAAATCTGTCACATCCCAGATGCCATAGCACGATACGGGTGACTAAGTTGTTTCCTGGTCCCTGGGCAGCAGAGACCCAAGCAGTGTTTCAGGAACCATGATATAGCTGTCCTCTACTGACTTTAAAAAGAGAGCAGATGTTTATTTGCTAGTTTGCAAACTCTGCCCAAAAGTCTGAATTGAGAGAATAAAAGTTGTGCAATATATCTTTAAATGTTTGGAAGGTGTGGAGGCACGGCTGGCTAAGGAATGCTGCAGCTGAGGGGAACAGAAGAACAGCTTTGCAAATCCAAATATCCCTCAGAAAAAGGCCTGTCTGTTTCCTAATGGTTTTCCTCCCCTTTCTTTAATGCTTTGAACAGCAGTACAAATAAACATACGATAAATAAATTAAGGAAGAAACAGAAGTGTACAAGCCAGCCAAAAAATAATTTCAGCTTCTCTGTCTCCAGTAAGATAGGAAGAATCTTCTACTTCCTGCAAAGCTGGCCAGAAGCTCGAGATCTGTGTGGGTGATGCTTTCTCATGCTGAGCACAGCCTGCATGTCCTTTCCCATCACCAGATCGGAAAGTGCATCTCCAGGGGTGCCTGGGTGAAGGGGAAATGTTGGGATATGGGTTGCTGGTTTAAACTAGTTGGTAAACAAAGCCTCTGAAAAGGAGGCTGGGAAAAAAAAAAAATAACACAAAATAAGAAGCAGCTGAAGCAACCCCTGATTTAAAAATCATTAACTGTGGACAACTGTCCAGTTTACACCATTCATTATATATATTCCAGGTCTATGCTTCTCTGCACCATAAGACATAAGAAATGCCGAAACACTCTATATCCCTACTTCTGCTTTGCTTATTTCTCTAATGAGAAAAGCTGTCCCCTAAGCTCTTGAAGTAGATCACATCTGTAATAGCTGTTACCAGAAAAAATTAGAGGAAAAAGTACAGTATAAATGAAAAACTGTCTTCACTGTTAGTTTAGTTCACATGAGCTTGCACTTATTTTAATATTGATACTTTTTATTTCTGTTAACATACTACATGCCTACAAATAAAAATACACTTTTGCTACCACTGATTATCACAACTTAAGAAAGGCTCCAGAACAGCATTAGCCACTGGACTAATTACATAGCTGACTATAGCTTAAAACCATTTTTATATAAAGACCAAAATTAGGTTATTCTGGTATAGCTGTTGGAAATATTCTGTTTGTGTATTTTCCCAATGCAAGAGAAAAAATTTGCAACTCTGATTTCCACCTTGGCTTTAACCTGGAAAAAAAAAACAAAACAAAACACAGAAATCTTGCACTTCTACAAACCCCTTTCTCCACTTTATTTCCACCTTTCTCAGTGGTCTTTCATTTCTGAGTTCTTTTCCTGTGTAACAGTGTGTCTCTTCCCCATTCAGAATCTAAGGACTTTAGTGTGCACCCTTCTAAAAGAAAATTTCAGTATCTGTCTGTGATGGAATGGGAAATCTGAGAAAACTGGTACTGGCCTCCTTAGTATGAGGCAAAATTCTCTTTGGAGCCCTACAGAAATCTTGCCTCAGCAAGGAGAACAGGTTTAGGCTCTATGTCTGTATTTTGTCTCTTTGTTTTCACTTGAGATCACACTCATGTGCAGCATGGGGGCATCCTGTGCTCCAGATACTACACAGCTCTTTTCTGAAATTGCTACTCTGCTCAAGTACCCCTAGAATTTGTATATTTATACAACAGCAGAGGGAGCCAGAACTTTAAAGTCAGACCATAATCATAAGGCAGAATTCATTGGCTAAATTGAAGGGAGGGAAGGACAGAGGGCGGGATAGAAAGGGGGAGAGGGAGAGAGATGCCATCCAAATTACCTACAGAAACAACCAGAACGGCTTCTCTCCTGGATTGCAAGGGCACAAAAGATCTTACTTCACTCTTACAACATTTCTGCTTTCTCCCAGAACAGAAATGTGCACCACCAGCAGCGATTCTCTCCATCAGTAACTGGTAAGGATTTTCTAAATTATCTATTTCAGATTGTCAGGAGCTCACATCTCTTTACTATAGTTATCACCTGTTATTGTTAAAAAAGCAGGTGATTATGTTTGATAAATGAAGACTGACTTGTCATGAAAGGCCCAGCCCTTGTATCTACTGAGCAAAGCTTTGCAACCTTTTGGGGTGCAGGAGGGACATGGCAGCTTCCTGGGAGCCTTTGCATTTCAGTGTGCTCCCTGCCACCCTGTGGTGTGACAGAAAGAACCTTCCTGGGTGCCTCTGATCGCTGGAAAACATTTCTTATCTCCTAGTCCCTGAGATTTCTTGGTCATCACACAAACAATGCAGATGCAGGCAGGATAAAACACATCACTCTCCAGATAACCTGACTGACTGTCTGCTAAGGTGCCCATTGCAATGTTTTATAGATTCACCACTTGCTTTGGTAAAGATCACCTGTGTAAAAATATATATTTTTTTGTCTTGGGTAGCAAACATGTCACAAAGGCCATTACTCTTAAAAAATCTGGGACTAACTACCATTCTCCAGTCTGCTGATTTGCTATTCACATTTTACCTTTGTGAACTGGCTCCATGTCTTTGGTACGGTTGTTATGAATTTAACCAGAAAATAAAAAGTTGGAGTAAATGCTTTTGTAAAACTTCCCTGTTTTCTACAGGATCAGAGAAGATTAACTCATAACAAAATTTCATAAACTCCAAAAGCTTAGAAAACATGCAGATGTTTCCCCTCAGAAAACATGCAGATTTGAGAGGGGGAAAAAATAATTCCTTTTCCTTGATATTTATGTTATAGACTTGTAACATGTTAATATGCACAAGTTTTTCTATACCCTAATTATGCAGGTTCTAGAATTTTTTATCCTGTATAGCTTTTTTAATGACCTAAGATAGTTTCTCCCAATATTTTTTCAATAAAAAGCTAAAAAGAGGCGAAGAGACCATCATTAACTTTCACTGTATTGGGTCCCTCATGGATTTAACACTGTTATGGGATGTCTTTGCAAACTCAGTGACATGTTTCCTCTTCTAGTTAAGTGTTGCTTTCCTGGGAAGCTTGGCTAATAACAGCCAAGTGATTTTTAACTTTTCTTTAGTATGTAAGGCTAAACAGGCCAAATCTGCTTTACTGAGATAATGTCATTGGCAGCCAAAAGGGGATACCACTGTCAGTCAGTCCCCACTACCTCAATTAATACCTGTACTATAAATTCTGGTAATCTGTTGAACCTTTCCATTGCTCCTTTTTTATTTTTATTTTGTTATTTTTATTTCTTCCTAGCAGACAACAGGTAGCTTTACTCCCAGTAATTGCTGCAACTCCTTAAATAAATAATACAATCACTACATGTCTTTAGGAATTGCTTCTCTCAGAATGCCAGTTGTTTGAGCAACTGAGGTAGATAAGCAGGAGCTTCTAAGTACCAGATAATGAAGCCAGACACTGCAAACATGTTTTTTACTTTGACTAATGTCTGATGTGGAAATTGGCTTCCACTGTCCATCACAACTATGGAGACCGTTATTTGATTACAGGCAGTGGATGATCACGATCAGCTTTGCAAAAATGACCCACCCTTTTCCAGTGGGCAGTAGAACCAGCATCTATAGCAGTCCCCTGCTTTATCCTACCTCCAGGAAAAAAGTTTTTCTAGGGGTTTTCATAGGATGTCTTTGAGTCCAGAGGTTTCTCAAAAGAGCAGTCATGCATTAACTTCTTGAAGCCACTTAGGGTCTAGTAGTCTCCTTGAAACAGAGGGTTTTATTTTCTTCCCTGACTCATTTCTGCAGAATTCCCTTTCCTTTAACGAATTTTTCTGGGGGTTACAGGATAATGCTCTGGGGCAAGACTTTTGAGCTGACAAGTGATAATTTGGTTTCTTTTTTTTTTTGAGAGAAGTTGAGTGACATTTGTTACTTTAGAAGGCTGCCCTGTTCACCATGACAAACCCTGCAAATTTTGCCTGTTCTTCTTCCTTGCTTCCAACACAAATAGAAGAGTGATAAATGTCTACAAAAGATGTATGTGGGGAATTGAACTTAGACTAAGATTAATTCTGAATATTCATTGTTTTCTTCCTTCTGTATCCTGTTAATTTGTTGCAGACTTTTGTGATGCTTGCTTTTTAGAGAAGCTGTCTCATTCTGCATTAAGTAGAGAAGAAACTCTCATAAACATCTTAGTTTTTGTTATTGAACTCTTTCCCAATATTCATTAAGAGTACTGAACAGGATTCCTCTTTCTTCTTTAAAGACAAATGAGCAAAAAACAGACAAAAATCTTTCTCCCTCAACAAACAGATTTAGGAGATATACTTCTTACTCGTACAAGCCAAATAAATATTGCTTCACTTTCTGGGGAAAAAAAGCTGTTTTTCTCTTAGACCATAATCTCATTGGTATGTTTTCTGCGGTAATAACAAACCTTCAATACAATGAGGCAACTAAGACCCTTGTTCCCACTGCACTGGTGATTCGCTGTATTAGCTCACCTTTGATTCAAATGTCTAAACAGAATATGCACACCTTGCTTTTTACTGGCTCTTGGTTTAGAATAAACTGAACGGCAACCAAACACCTTGAAAACCAAACACATCACTTGGGAGTGACTACCCTTGAGGATCCGCCACCCAAGGATACCATGATAGGATGCATGGGTGTAAGGTCACTGCAATAATTTTTTTCTGTTTTTCTAGGACTGCTTTTTACATTATGGTTGCTGGAACAAGAGTTAAAGAGGTCTACAGACATAGGTGATCTATGCACTGACTTTTCCCAAGACATCATGTTGGCAGGTGGTTTAAAGCACCTCATGGTGCATCACAGGTTCCCTTGAGACACTGAACAACTCATGTCCCATCTCCCTCTCACAGTCCCCTTATCTGTGACAAGAAGGTGATAATTCCTTATTTACCTCTGGGCAGTACCATAAGAGTGAATGCCCAGGAAGTGCCTGCCAGTCACCTGGTGGGGGATACCACAGAATGCAAGGTGTTAGAAGAGAGGGAGCTCCTAACCCAACAAGACACATTGCAGAACCTTCAGAGATGCTCTTTATCCCCACCACACTTACCATCGGTGACCAACACACAGCCACACTCAGTCTTTGGTATTTCTCTTGGAAATAAACCTGTGGGATCTGGCTTCTGCTTTTCAGGTGGCTCCACCACTTTCCTTTTTCCTTCAGCATTATTAGTTCTCACTGTTGCTTCAGCATATGCAAGTGTCTGGGACCCTTGAGAGGGCTTACTCTGTGGACACAGATGTTTGTAATAACTGCACATATTTTCATATTTTTGAAGCAACAAAAGAGAACCATGTGTTTGTTGTTGAGGATACTGTAGCTAAGGACATGAGGCTGGGACCATAGTAAAAAGCTCACGTGTTTTGTTTACAGCAAAATCTATTTGTCCTGTCCAAATGCCAGGACTTATCTCTTCTGACTGGTACAAAATATTATTGCAGGCTGCCCATCCCTTAGCTCTATTTTGCTTGCAGCATCTCCACAGGCCAGCAATCATTAAAAACAATGGGGCTGGTTGAAGGTTTTTCATTCTATATCCATTTTCTCACAGACCACCATACCCTCCTCATATGTGGAAATGGAATCCATACATCACCATTGCTGCTTGTTTTTCTTCCAGAAAATGTATCAATCTGTTCACATGGATTCGGCAACAACACAAAAATGAGTGGACAGAAGGAGTCATGTCTATATCCTCAATTTGGAAAATCTTCTTTGCCCCTCTTTAATTAAGTTTAAACTACTGAGGAAATGAAGACTGTGAGAAAGAAAGGGCTACTATATTTTGCTTGTGTGACTGTCTTTACTGCCTCAGATGGATATGGATAGATGACAGAAAGATAAAGAGAGATAAAGTTAGATAGATCAACAGGTCTAGCAAAGGAATAAAAGAATTTACTGTACTTGTTCATGATCCCAAACAATGATCCCAAAGCATCCTTTCATTTACTGCACACTATTGATTTCTTTAGTTCCTGAGAGGTAACATCTCTAGAAAACAATAGAATTCATAATGGGGAAGATAAGGCAAAGAAAAAGATATAGGATAGCAGGTGCTTTTTGTACAGTACTGGTTATCTTTAGGCATGCAATTGTTTAGCAATAAATGCTACTTAATTGAAGTGTTAAGCTCACTATACCATGTTTTTTATGTATTCATACCATGATCAGTTGTTTTTTTCTGAATCTCAGACATTTTTCACCATCCCACAAACTTGAGCGATGTTTAATCATTGAGGAAAGTGTCATGCAGTGGTTAAATAGTGTCACTCCCCAAGTATTTATTTACTTTTCATACTACAAGCCCTTGTACAGCACAGAACTGCCTCTGGCCTGATGAGAGCTCCCACCAGTCACATTTTTTTTCTTCGGTTCCTGGACACAGAGGATTTGGACTCGAGGGTCAGGATTGTAAAGTAGCCTTTGCTATGGCTCACAGGAGTCATCTGGGAGAGTCGAGGCAGTTCTGTGACTGAGACTTCCAAAAGTATGCAGCACCAATTAACTCCATGTGTTTGGCTCCCTGAATCCCACTGAAAGACCCAGCTCATGGCTTGCAGCAGTGAGTTTGAAGTACACCTGTCTGTGCAGGAACACTATCTAGCAGATAGAACATGCTTTTACAACAAATTTGTAAAAAAAAAAAAAAAAAAAAAAAAAGGCAAAATTATGCTGAGGAAGAATCAATAAAAATCTTCCCAGAAGGAATTAAAAGATACTATCAAAACCAGTCACTTTTAAAGCCAAGATGAGGGAACTGGACTGTATTTCTGATAAACCCTGTCATGGTCACATTAGAGGAGATATCAGTGCTTCATGGGCACTGGAGTTCATCTGGAATGAGGAAGCAAGAAATTTGGACTGCAGTTCCCATGACCTGTCACAGCTGTATAGAAGCTGGGAAATGTTGAAATTGTTTTGAATTATTTTAGACTTTAAAAAAATTTTCCCATGATATTCCTCCAGAGAATGAGCCTGAATTTTTGCATGGTGATTGTTTTGCACAAACGTGAGTTCTGGCTGCAATTACAAATGCATTTCACAGAAAGTATTTTAATGTTGGCTTTGTGTACCTAATATGCCTTGCTTTGCACATTGATATTTAGCACAGCTGAAGGTAAATGCAGACTCAGAATGTCCTCTGTCCAGTTCTGGATCAGAACCTCACAAAACCAGAATTGCACACAATTTTACCCTGGTTGGGTTTTGATCTGGTTTTCTTGTAGCACTACTCTGATGCATTAGTGATGTTCAAGATACCACACTGAGCGAAATAATGAAGTTAAGATGTCCTTAAATCCATGGGACAACCTCACAATGAATAAACATAATTCAATAGACTTTGCACAGACTTTCATACTACAGTTAGCAAAGGGCTCCATTTTATGATCTAATAAACTATGTAAGAGGGAGCTGCAGAATATACACAAAATCCCTGGCATTTGCTTCCCTGTCTCCCTCTTTACCCTTTTGACTAATTTCTTGCAGCATAACTAAACATATTTTTTCTTTTTCTTTCCAGATATACCCAGACCTTCCACAGCCAGACAGAACAGATATAACACTTTTAGGCTGGCTCCAGAAGACTCAGACTCTGTTTGACTGCCACCCTTTTGGATAAATATTTTGGGATTCAAGATGAATAAGACAAGGGCTGTTAATGATATTTTTCATTTCCTGATCAACAAGAACTGGAGCTCAAGCCGAAGCTTTCCTATGAACATTTCTAATCAGTGCATGAACATCACCGACCTTACTGTCTTTCTGGCCACCTCTTACAGCTTGGAGACTGTTCTGGGCATTGTGGGAAACATCTGTCTGATTGCTGTCATTGCCAGGCAGAAGGAAAAGGCAAATGTCACCAATATCCTAATTTCCAACTTAATAATTTCAGACTTGTTTATGTGTCTTGTCTGCCTGCCTTTCACAGTTGTTTACACCATGATGGACTACTGGATATTTGGAGAAGTCATGTGCAAAATGACCTCTTTCACTCAGTGCACAACTGTGACAGTATCAATCCTTTCCCTTGTCCTTATTGCTCTGGAAAGACACCAGCTCATCATAAACCCGACTGGCTGGAGGCCAAATACCTCCCAAGCCTACCTAGGAATTGGAGTGATTTGGACTTTAGCATGTCTCATGTCCCTACCCTTTTTGACCACATCCATCTTGTCTAATGAGTTGTACGAGCAGCTCTCACACTTCATGAATTTTTCCACTGATAAGGCAATATGTATCAACTCGTGGCCTTCTGAGCAGCACAAACTTATCTACACTACCACTTTACTGCTCTTGCAATATTGCATCCCTCTGTTCTTCATTATCCTTTGCTACCTGCGTATCTACTTACGCCTGCAGAAGAGAAAGGACATGTTTGAGAAGAGCGAGTACAGCAACCGAGCAGTCCAGCTGAGAAGAATAAACATTTTGCTAGCATCCATGGTTGCTGCTTTTGCTGTTTGCTGGCTACCACTGCATGTTTTCAACACCATTGTGGACTGGAATTACAAAATCATTTCGCCTTGCCACCACAACCTGATCTTCTCATTGTGTCACCTGGTAGCTATGGCTTCTACCTGTGTCAACCCTGTTATCTATGGTTTCCTAAACAGCAACTTCAAAAAAGAAGTGAAGTCACTGATTCTGAGCTGCCAGCATAATTCAGTAACTGCCTCAATGGAAGAATATGATCATTTGCCTTTATCCACCATGCAGACTGAAATTTCCAAGGGGTCACTGATGTTGAACTGCAGGCACAATTCTATTTAATGAGCAGAAAATATTTCAGAAGGTGCACTGACACCACACACCAATTTTTACCTGCGGGTATATGAAGCAACTGGTGATGCCACAGCTGGGATGTGAACAGGAAGCCATCACTACCTGAGTTTTGGAAGAACAAGCCCAGTAGTGTTGTAAATGTTCACAGTTGCTGCTGTGGTGCACAAGTCTTTGTGTTACTGAGGTCGTACAGACACTGAGGAGACTGGGCTGATGTATAAGCAGCTGCTCTAAGATCAGTGGCTAAGCTGTGGCTGCATAGAGGCTGACACAGGTTCATCAGTGAAACTCATATCTCTACCATGGCTGCAGTAGAAAACCAGATTTCCAGTTTCATCACTGCAGGCTGCCAAAAGTTGTGTTGGAGAAGTCTCTCTCAGTTTTTCAGTATTAGTAAGATTTTTATGCACAGCTGACACACCAGTAGAACAGAGATATGTAAATATCAATTTCATCTACCACCTCTCGCAGCCCATAAAGTTACAGTAATCTTTCAGATCTTCATATAAAACAACTGCCTGTTTCCATGAAACTTCACTCTGCCATAGGCTTGAGAATAGTCATTGCCTCTGCAAGTAGGATCAAGGAACAATGACGCTGGTATGTAAAGAAGACAGTAATTTATGAAGGATGGCAGCAAATGAAAATGTTATTTGATGGATTAAACTCAAAATGCATTGAGATGTTACTGAGAACTATTTTAAAGCATGTGAGAAATGAGTCAGTTCCCGCTGCTGTCAATCACCAAGCTCTGCAATGCTAAAACTTCATGCCATGATGGTACAAGATGGCCAAATTACAGGAGTTGTTGGAGGACTTGGTAGTAACATGACATTCTGCTTCAGCATCTTCTTGTTACTTTAATTGCAACGTATCAATTCAGAAGGTCAAAATGAGCATGAAAACTTGTTTGTGGAAATCACATGTTTCCAGAGTGGCTACACTTCCAAAGAAATAAGCATATGCATGGAGAATTAGAGTTTTCTTAAAAAATAAAACCCGATATAAGATATCAGTCCCACTCACTGGCATCAGCAACACAAGTGAATCTGAAATTCCAACAAATCAATAGAAGGTCAATGAAAATACACAGGTGGAATCCAGGTCAGGCTGAAGCCAAGCCAAATAGGTAGTACTGTCAATTGCTCCAGTAAAATGAAGGTCATGTTTTTTCACAGCGTGTTATTTGTAGCCTTTGTTTATGAAACCTACAAACTATAAACTCTTTTTAACCTCTGGAGCCAGAGAAATTGCTCAGTGACTACTGAGAAACCAAGGCATGCCCGAGAAGGCCATACTGAGCTACAGATTAAAAAAAAACCAAAAAACTAACAAACAAAAAAAAAACCAAACAAACAAAAAAAAAACAAACAAACCACAACAGGTAGCAAGTGCAAAAAGGAGATCAACCAGCTCAATGCTAATGAAATACTTAAGCATATTCTGTCCTGATTTCCTAAACTAACCTTAGCAGAATACTGGACTAGGTGGCCAGCTGAAGTAATTTCAACATGATTTATGCTCTGATAAGCAGTGGTTACTTGCTGCAGGTTTGCATGGAGCTGAAGATATCCAGTGTATAATTATGCAAACAACTAGAAATTGTTGGCAGATCTCTAATTAGACAAATTGGTATAAAGATAGGTGAGGAAAAGACTTCCTCCCATGCTGTGAACTGACAAGAATATGGATTCTGAGCAGAGTATCTGAGGACAAGAGCTAACCCCTATGTTATAAGGCAGCAAGAGCTATCATAAACCCAGCTGGCAGAAATAAAAGTTAACCCCTTGCCATGAGCTGGGTGCACAGATTTCAGTGGTAAAACTTGAAGTTTGGCCTTGAATTCTTGTGTACTACCCTGTAATTCTGGCCAGAACCTCTGTATCTTAGTAAGATACTTTGTGTGTGATTACCCTTTATATCTTCCTCAACTATGTGGTAAGACATTTTTGCTCTTTTCAAATGGATTCCAGCTTTCTTCTATTTTCTTTGTGACTTGCTATGCCATGCTGAGAAGTTGTTTCTCTTGATTAGTTTGCATGCAATGTGATTTCTAGACTGGACATTGAGTCTACTAGAAATACAGAATAAGAGGACTCTTATATTAGATGCATCTTGAAATTTGCTACTGTAGCAGAAATCACCATGGGCTGCTGAGTAGCACAAAATACAGCAGCTCCTCCTAATCATCGTGAGTTACCTCAAAACTGTGCTTTATTACTTCAAGGCTTAAATACTATTTCAACTTTGCCATTGTTTTGCATTTAGAATCAATCTAAGTAATTGAGCAATTCTGCCCAGTTTTTGCACTTGTTAGAATTCCAGCACTTAGCTAAGGTGTCTGTAAAGCTATTTTAAGAATAGTCTGCTAAACACACAGAAAATTACCTGATACATGGTCTTAAGTATATAACTTTTCAAACACCAGTGTCTTAAACAGAAACACAATTACTTTTAGCATTTGTACTTCCATAAACCTGTCTTTGTCACTAATTCTAAGTGAAAACTTTTGGTACAGTGCTTACAGTATAGCAGAGACCTGCCACTAGAGCAGTGCACTGGCATTGTGCATCAGATCCAAGTTCTTCCTGTAAAGGGTAGAAACATGGGCGGGATCTGACACTGTTTAACTGTAATTCACGTGGCCATTTGTTTCCATGAACACAAGTAGATACATAAAGCAAGCAGATCCAACTTTACACTAACACAAATGGATGTTATTTTCCTCTCGTGATTAAGCAAAGAGTCAAGTTCAGAGTCAACTACTGTTTATTGCTAACTGACTTTGGACTTGATAAACTACAGGATTTAAACACTAAAAGCCACCAAACTGCACCCATACATCTAACTGCAAAAATGCAGATCCTCAGAACTCCCAACCAGCTGCAGTCTATCCATCTACTTAACATCTTGAGATACATGTTTTTCAACCTCTAGAATTTCCTAAGTAACTAAATAAACTTTAAAGAAAACATACAAAAATAAATATATCTAGGTACCAAAGGACTGAATATGTAACAGGAAAGCTGCCTGTACCAAGCTTCTGTGCATACACCAAGGCTTATGCTGCTGTGCACAGATGCAGTAGAGGATACTACCCTGTTAGTTTTTTAAGAACTTCTGTAGCAACTGTTCCCTGTTCCCTCTGAAGGCAAAGTCACAAGGCTGGGTGCAATTATGCCTGCATAGTTGATAGAGCCATTTTATTTGTGACTTTGAGGCTTTATGCAGCCAAGGGAGGCTAGGTTTCTTTGGTCCCAGCAGAAGGTAACAGAACAGAAATAGCTTACATACCTCTTATCGATTTGTAAATAACAGGTACTGTTAATGTGTAAGAAGCATTGAGCATTTTTGTGTCCATAGTATACAGTGATTGTTTTGGGTATACTCTCTAAAGCTCTGCTACTGAGTCACAAAAGCAATGATGGAGAAATAGGCAGGAGTTGTGCAAATCATGAGTTCCTACAATTTTGAGACCTTACACTGCCTTTTTTAAAAAAAGTTTTTCATAATCTTGCCTCTTGTGGCACATTATAAGAAGTCAGTAAGGTTTTCAGAGCAAGAGAACAACTTATTGTGTGATAGAAATAGCACACTACAGGAAATCTTATAATAACAAATAAAGTAATATTGTCTGTGTTACTTCTCTGTGCCTTCTTCTGTAAAATGATGTAAGACTCTCCACAGTATAAAATACATAAGATTTAGTCCTCAACTAGTGTTTATCAAGAGAAAAAAACTGTATGGTGTGATAAGAACCACTGATGTGTGAAGGATTAATAATTTGACACATTATTCCAAAGGACAATGGTGCAGTGCAGCTGACAATGGGGGACAGGCAAGTACCAAAAATTCAACATGGTACATTGGAATATTCTGATGCCAGAACTCAAATCATCTTCACATACTTTTCAGATTGCACAGGAAGCTGGGTCCTATGTGGTACAGTGTCCTGAACCCCAACCAGAAGCACAGCCAGAAAGTAACTGTCACTGCTAGGATGGAAACCAATGTGGGACATTAAACAAAATTTTACTGAACTTCATAAAATGCTTTGACTGGGTTAAAAGTATTGGTAAATTTCTCTGATTGGGTTACCTGGCTTGACAGAAAGTAAACCAAGGTACTAGAAATAACTGCAGATCATGCTGTTACCAGGTTTGGTTTAGTACACTTGCATACACAAGGAAGAGTGCAATAGCAGTATCTGCCTGCCTGCACTGGTGGCGTGTGGCATAAGCTGCCACAGGGGCTGGCAGCAATGTTGTGACAGCCATCAGTCAATCTGCAGTGTGGGTTTGCTGTGTGCAAACAGAGAGTGCACACACATGTGAGGACTGACACTCAGTGAGAGATTATTGTGAAATAAGATGTCATACCCTGAGGACCCCTTCAGAGATGCTTTTGCTTTGACCCAAGTGTCTTCTCACAAGATCACCTGGCATTTCAGTTTACAGGCCATTCTCTTCAAGTTTCTTATCCATCAAACACTGGCCTGATGTTCATATCAGTATTGATTTCAATGTAAATTGTTGATGTGTAATCTGGGTTTGTACTGTACGAGCATCAAAATCCACAGAGCCTGTATGATCTTCCCTCCCTTTCTCAGTTTGTTCTATGAAGTCACTTATTTGAATTCAGGAAGTCATAAGTAGAATAAGCCTGAGATTTATACTTCTGTACTATGCCTTTCCTGCCAGACAATGCTCATTAGGCCTTAGTCAGAATTGTTTTGTTGTCCTTCCAGTAAATGCTTATATAAAGCCCAGTAGCAGCACAGAGATTTTATGATGGAAACCTGTGTTGAAATTTAATTCCAGAGATGTCTACCTTTTCTTTTTTCTTTATAGAACTTTAGTTGATGACACCCATCACCCCTTGGTAAAACAATACTCAGTTAAATAGCGCCATAGGATTCATCACATATGATAGGAAGTATTTTGTTCAATAGAAATTGCAACACAGATTACCAGAGATAATACTAAAAAAATAGCCATGATACACATAAAATGACGGCATAATAGTAATATGAATAAGTACTTTCAGAAGAATATCACAAGATGCAAACTGACAGTAAAAAGCTGGATTTTCAGCCAAAAGGTATGCTAACAGAGAACATGGAACTTGCACTGTAAGTCTTTAAAATAGAATTCACTATTAAATTCACAGATAAAAAATTCTGTCCTTTGAATATATTAACTTGAGTTCATGATTTTCTGTGTCCCTTATCCAGTCTATGGGAATATGAATCCTCCCTGTTGGGAGCTAGTGGGCAAATACCTTCATCATTCAGAAGTATTTGTCTTGATTCTATTTCTACAAGGTGATGCATGTAAAATGCACTTGTCCAATGCCATGCCTTTAGTAAGCTAATGAGCATTGATTCATGTGATTGATATGCCGACTTAATGACTAAAATTATTTACATGCACCATATATTTCTTTATATTAAAGCTAGATTGTAGAAAAGTTCCTGTTGTCCTAAATACCAATATAACCACTTTCTGAAAGACCCTGCATTCACAGCAGAGAGCTAAAAAATGCAGGAAAGTTATGTTCTTCTCAGCATCTATGTTAAACTCAAAGGAATTTACACAGTCAAGCAAAGACTTTTGTTAAAACTCACAAATACACAGACTGCTCCAGGAGCATAACGCACACGTACCCCCAGGGCTATGTTTTAGGAAGGATCCCAGGCTATAAAAATAGCAGAAGCTGACTAGCACTGTGGTAAAGGTTTTTAGAACTGGTGAAATGAAATCATACCACCAGTCCCATTTAAAATTCAGCGTGTGCTGAAATCCATCAGGGAAATGCAGCCACACGGTCCCACATTGCGCAAGGTCCTTTCATAATAGCCCATATTTCCACAAGCCCCACGCTGCATATGACACAACACACAGGCATGCACAGCCTCCCCACAGCCAAGCTCATCCCCTTGAGCAGACAAAAGGACCTTCTGCTAAACCTACAAACTGCTAATACAGCTCCTCTGCCTCAGAAGTAGTCTATGAAAGGTGGTTCTTGAGAGAATGAATGCTTCCCATGCGCAGCAAGGAAAAGTTTCATGGCATTGTAGTTGCATTCAGCATCTGGGCGAGTTGCTTACAGACACTCCTAAATAAGGGAGTATCTCATTGTTTGTGGGAAGGAAGCAAGGAATTACTTGGCTGGAACAAAAGGAAGTGCTCTACCTGTATTTAGAGCAACAGGCAAAGTATTTGCAAACAAACCCCTCCAGCTCATGCTCAATTATTTGTACTGCAAAATGAATATATTACATTACAGATTTGCAAAGGTTAAGGTTTAAGCGAGGACAATTTGAGGTTTTGTGTCTCATAACATTTTCACTGATCAGTTTTCCATAAACCACAATTGGTTAGAACTACAATATGCACAGCATTCCAGGATTAAAATGTACAAATGATCTATCATAAACACACAGTTTCTCAGGATCTGGGCCTTGGAACAAATGTACACAGTGCATTTTAAAAATAGGTCTTTAAGAAAATTGTTTTTTTTTTTTTTTTTTTTTAAATTTCAAACAACTAACAAGGACAAAATAGTCCCTCGTTTTGCAAACAGGTTGAATGAAGTAAAAAAAAATGTTTACTTCAAATTATGTGAGGAAGAAGAGTGGTTTGGTGTTAAATTTTCTAGTGTGCAGTACTTCCTAGGTCAACATATTAATTTCACTAGAAAGAACAGAAAGGAACAGCAATGATAAACACTGCAAAGCACACAGGAGTGCACTGCTGTGACTGGTAAATGGTATGGCTGGTGGCAGTTCTGAGCTGCTGATAGCTTCTCTTTAGTTTAATAAGGAGGAACGTGCCTTTGTTTCAACCAGCTTAACTCAGTATCAATTTTTATAAATAGAATTCACCTGAAAGAGCTAGAAGGCAGCATCTGAGCACACAGAGAGAGTATTTGAGTTTAAAGGACAGGTTTAAGACATTAACCATAATCTTCTTGTATCTAGGAGATCATGCAAAGTTCTTTATTAGTTTTTTTTTTTAGACTTGGAAACAAATCAATTGATGCTGTTGCTATGATTCAGCCATGAGCTTGACTGGCTGCATTCACTTTTGTCTGTATAGTTTGTTATTAAAGGTAGGGAATGAAAAGAACCATGCTGGTGATTATTTTAAGCACACTTATCAGCAGCAATCACCTATTTTATACTAAGAGCAAACAATGTTTAATATATCCTTTTATAACTAAATACAAATTACTAAGGGGTCAATAAGTGGTATGGGGTCAATAAGTGGTACCAGCTTCCAGGAACATCCATTCTTTATCAAACTTTTTTTTTTTTTAATAGCATTTATAATATCCATTCAGGAAAACACTGTCAACTGTTTTAATAGAGGTTTTCAAATCACTGCTTTGTTAGGAAAGAATGTCTGTGTTGCATCCTCTGTTAATATGCTTCAATTGTAAATAACTGCCATCAGCAGTTATCTCCTACAATAAACTCCAGGCCTCCCAGTGCCATGAGGATACACAGAATCTAAGTATAGGCAACTACTCTTAATTTCCACCTACAGGAGCACATGAGCTTGGACACCACTGGATGTTTTCCTGTATGCCACAAGGACATGCATGGACATTCACACAGGCTCAGTGCAGCCACAGCCACTGACCTGCTTTTTGACACACAAGACAGCAGGGATGTGCAGATAACTAACTTCTGAGAACAGAATACACTAACAAATTAAGTAGGTGCATGCCTTACCTTTCTCTTTTCAGAGCCCTGAAGACACAGGGTGATAATGTTGCTCACCTATGTGTGCTACAGCTTTCTGCTGCTGCAGAAGCTGTGCAAGGAAGTGAGGAAGGGGTTACACATCAGCTGCTCAGCAGTCCAGTCAGGGAAGG